CCCCCGCCCCTGCCCAGCGTGCTGACCCTTGTGTCCCCCACCCCTCGCGTCCTCGCCCCCGGCCCTGCACTCGCGCCACCCTGCTTAGGCCTCGCGGAGTTCCGCTCGAGCCTGCTCGAAAGCATGCACACCCCGACGTGGCTGGCCCTGCCGGCCGACGACCTGGCGGCCAAGCTCCTGGAGCATGTGACCCGGAATGCGGCCGACTTTGCGCGGCTTCCGGCCGCGGAATTCGTGGATTCGGAGCTCCTCCGGTGCGTGTCCCCCTCCCCCCCCTTCTCCCCTGCGCCTCCGACGATCGGGAAGGCTAACTACCATGTCGACACCGGGGCGCGGGTGGCGGAAAAAAATCCCCAAAAAAACACCAGGCACATTGCCGACGCGCCGGCGCACTTCACCCTGGCCCCCTTCGCCGCGGTGGTCGGCGGTGCCGCCTCGCAGGAAGCCATCAAGATCATCTCCGGAGCCGAGGCCCCCTTCAACAACTTCGCCTACTTCGACTCCGGCGTCGGTGGGCTGGCTGGGCGAGGCCTCGGCGCGGCCGGGTCTCCCTCCTGGCAGGTGGGTGGCGCCGAGGTGGTCCTCGCGCAGCCCTGATGCCGGCAATAGAAAAGGAAGAAACCCCTGCATGCGTGTCTTTCCCTGCCGGGCCCCTGGGGTGCCGGCGGCGCGCACGCGCGTCCCCCCTCTCTCCGTGCGTGTTTGTGTGTGTGTGTGTGTGTGTGTGTGTGCAGTGCACGCCGCGCCCCGGGGCAGGAAAAAGGCCCAAAAGGAAGGTCGAGCCGAGAATCGAACTCGGATTGACAGATTCAGAGTCTGCCGTGATAACCATTACACCACTCAACCGCACATGGACTCCCACCCCACGGATGGCCTCAAATACCTTTCGCCTTGCCCACGCACCCATAAAAGATCCCCCGCCGGCGCGCCCGGTCGTGTCGCCCGGCCCACGCACCCGCATCCCCTCCGCCCCTCTGCGCCCGCCCCCCCCCCGCCCATTTTTCACTTTCACCCTGCCATGAGCTCGCCCATGCCCGCCTCCAAGGTGCGCCCCCTGCTCGCGTCCCGCTTCACCGTCTCGCGCCCCCCTCCACCCCCTGCGCTCCTGCTCGCCCTCCCCCCCCCCCCCCCACCAACCGGGCGGTAAATTGGGTCCCCCCCCCCCCCCCCCCCCCCTCCCCCCTCCCCCCCCCCCCCCCCCCCCCCCCCCCCCCCCCCCCCCCCCCCCCCCCCCCCCCCCTCCCTTTCCCACCGCTATACAAGCCGAGGCCAGCCCCTGCATCTCGCTGGTTCGTCCCCTCCCTTCCTCGACTGGTATGGCTCTCCCGCCCATCAGCGCCAACTCCATTCCCCTCCTCAAGGACAAGCCATACCTCCAGCCAACCCTGCTGGTGTGCTTCGCCCGGCTGTCTAACAAGTCCGCCAACGGGAGCAGTTCCTACCAGACTATTGTCAGTGACTCGGTCTACAAGACTTCCGGTATGTGACGTGGTGATTCTTCGGCCGGCATGCTCCCTTCCCGGGGTGGCTCTGTCCCTACTCACGCCCTCCCCCCACTTTGCCGTCTCTCTCCCTCTCTCCCCCTGCGCTCCCGCCCTCGCAGGTATCGTCAGCTTCCCCGACTCGGTTGACCTCCAGCCGTTCACCCTCATCCAGGTCGTCCAGTTCTACTTCATCAAGGCGTCCTCCTGCTTCCGGTATGCCCTTCGCTTGCTCCCTCCCCTTTGCCCACTCTGCCTCCTTCTTTCTGCCCGCCATGCGCCCCCTTCTCTCCCGGTCGCCCCCTTTGCCGCGCACGCGCCTTCTCACTGTCCTTTGCCTCCCGCCTGTTGCCCCGTCCAGCCTCGTCATCTCCCAGGCCAACGTCCTCGGCGTCTACCCCGAGAAGATCGACCACACCACCCTCATCATGCACCGCTTCCAGCTTGACGACGAGCCGGCCGCCCCGGGCCCGGCTGCCCAGGCCGCGACCACTCCCACCCCCCACCAGCAATACCAGCAGCAGCCGGGCTACCAGCAGCAGCAGCAGCAGCAGCAGCAGCCCGGCGGCAATGTGTCGGCCCGCGGTCGCCCGGCTGGTGCGCTCAATGCCCCGCCCCAGCACGGCGCCGCCGGTGGCCAGACCTACCAGCCGATCGCGTCCATCTCGCGCTTCCTCAACAAGTGGACCATTTGCGGCCGGGTGACCGTCAAGTCGCCGGTGAAGCACTGGTCCCGGCCGGACGGCCGCGAGGGGCAGCTCTTCTCCTTCAATCTGCTGGACTCGTCGGTGCGTCCTCCGGCTTCTTGCTTTCTTCCTCCTCTCGCCCCTGTCTCCTCCCCTTTGTTCGCGCCTGTCTCACCACTGTTTGTCTCCTCCTTCGCCCTATTCCGCTTCTTTCTCTCTCTTTCTCTCTTTCTCTCTTTCTCTCTCTTTCTTTCTCTTTCTTTTTCTCTCTTTCTTTCTCTCTCTTTCTTTCTCTGCTTCTCTCTTTCTTTCTTTCTCTCTTTCTTTCTTTCTCTCTTTCTTTCTCTCTTTCTTTCTTTCCTTTTTTTTCTTTCTTTCTTTCTTTCCTTTTTTTTCTCCTCCTCCTTCTCCCTCTCTTTCCCTCTCTTTCCCTCTCTTTCCCTCCCCCTCTCTCCCTCTCCCTCCCTCTCCCTCCCTCTCCCTCCC